TCACATATACAGTATTGGTCAAGCAGATAATGATATTATCTAGTATTAAATTTTATTTAGTATTTTGAAAGACAAATCAAACAAAGTTGAGATAAGTTAATGTTTAAAATAGAAATTTTATAAAATCATATGTCTAGACTAAAAAATATTGTCATGAAAGTCATGACATAGAAATTACCTCGGGCATCATTTCCAAAAATCAGAACTTTAATATCACTTATAGTTTTTGTGATCTCAACATCCCATTCTCCATACCGTTCCCTTCACATCTGGATGGAAAGGGTCATATGGTTGTAATGGTCCCTAAAAACAATAGTTGCAAAAAAAATTATTTTGTTCTAGCTCAATCCTAACATATATTTAATTTAAATAATCTAGTGTAAAGAGTTTTGGCGAGAATTTTATACTGTATATATGAATAAAAGTGTTATATTTTTGAATTATTATTTTACTGGATTGTACAAGAATAGTTAGGGGTTTGTTTCATATATAACATGCCAAGAATATTATTTCATATAAGTGACAAGGTGACAAGCACTTTTAAAAATATTTTGGCTAAATATTTACTTTTTCTATAGATTTTTAAAAATTACTTATCTTAATATACTTATATTATATTTATTATATTTATTATATTATATTATTTATTATATTATATTATCTTAGTATTATATTTCGACGATCATATAAAAAATGCATAAACCTGCAACAGAAACAATTAAAATCTAAAACCACCTTGTATAATCTGAAAGTCATCTGTGCTTGACACTTTTTCTATTCTCATGACTTTGAGATGACTTTTCTATTCTACATTGTTACTACGCGGATTTATAACGACTATATAATAACTTAATATTAATATGTAAAAGACATTGTCATTTTGTACAGTAATTACAAAATTGAATAATACAACAATATCCGTTAAATACCCTTAATTTTACTATTGTTACCATGCCGCTTTATAATGACTATACAATAACTTTATTTATATATAAAAGGCATTGTAATAACAAAATTGAATAATTGAATTTTAGTACCAAGTCCATTATTGTTGAAAATTATTTATCCATTTATTTGTTAAATTGTACATGAAATAGTATTTAGTACAATTATATTATTTTTAATTAAAAGCAATTAAAATGGATATAATTACCGGATTGATTGTTTTAGCAATCACATTGATATTGATATACATTTATTTGTAAATTACTATTATAATTATTATAAAAAATATTTTTATTAAACTATTAATAATTAATTTTTAGGTCAATATGGGGTAGCAATGATTACTGGGCTAAGCAAGGTATTAATGGTCCCAAACCTCTACCAATATTTGGCAATATTATCAGCACGCTAAATTCAAATCCAAGGGAACGTCTACTTGTCAACCAAAAGAAATATGGCAAAATATATGGGTAAACAGGGTAAAATTGTAATAAACACACATGATACTATTATATAATTGTAGCAATTTCATGGGACGAATACCGGTGCTAACTATCACCGACCCGGAGCTAATCAAATTGATTCTGGTGAAGGACTTCCACGTTTTCGTCGACCGGAACGTCGTGTGGACCCCGAAAATCGCGATCCGTAACCGCAATCTGAACCAACTTATCGGCGACGACTGGAAACGTGTTCGCTCTATCGTGACACCCATTTTCTCTCCGAAAAAATTGCATGTAATGTACCCTCAGATTAGGCAATGCTTGACGTCATTCATGAGCTACTTGGACGTGCTGGCTGAAAATCGCCAAGAATTAGACATACTGGACGCGTTTACCAAGTTTTCGTTGGATGTGAATGCCACTACAATTTATGCTACAAAACTAGATTTGTATAAATCATCGACAGATGGCAACACTACTAGTGAACACCCGTTTGTTTTACAAGCGAGAGATAAGTTGGTGATTAAAGCTTGGAAAGAGATGGCGTCACTAGTGTTGCCAAAGTTTTTCCTTAAATGGATTGGTATAGAAGATACGAAAACGAATTATTTTTTCGAGGACTACATCCGCCACATATTGAAGGAGAGACGCGATAATCCGGGTAAAAAACATAATGATTTTGTTCAGTTGCTTATGGATGCTGAGGTAATCGATAGAAAGACTGGCGATGATAGTGCCACCACTCAGGATGATAAGGATAATAGCGAAATTCATCATGTTAATCAAGGTATGTAACAGATATTTAGGTTGTTTTAATTAAATTCATTATTAGTTTTATGTGTAAGTTAATTATAAGTATATCTAGATAATAAAGATTCTAAAATAAATGAGTACTACTTCTAACATAGTTTCTAATATTCTATATCAATAATTGTAGTTTAATATATTAAATATCATAGCTTATTAAATTATTAAATTGAAAATATAAACAATAAACCATAGTTTATTTGTGAAAACTAAACTCTTAGTTATACTATTAATACATCAATTATTAATTTTCTAAATATAATTGTTATTAAATATCAGGGTAGAGTTATACAAACTTATGTTATATAAATAGATAAGTAAACTTAAAAATAAATTTAAAATTAAAAAATTTAACGTAAAATAAAATGCTTTAAAAGGCGAGGAATCGTTGGCCGTCGAGCGAAAAGTGATGGACATTAAGATTAGGGACAAACGGCTGACGGAAGAGGAGATCGTGGCCCAGGGCTTCCTATTCATGACGACAGGGTTTGCGGGCACGGCATTAGCCCTCGCGTACACCGCATACGAGTTCGCTCTAAACCCTGACTGTCAGCGCCGCCTACGCGACGAGATTACAGTCGCTATCAGCGCCACGACCGATGAGATAGCGTATGACGTGTTGGCACGACTACCCTATTTAGATGCTGTCGTGTCGGAGACTATGCGCAAACACGTCACATTTATATCACTGTTTAGGTACCCATCCGTTGATTATAGGTTAGGCGATACGGGTATTACTTTGAAGGCCGGACAACAGATAGAGATCCCCCATTACGCCATACACCTGTCCGATGAGTATTATCCGGACCCGTTTAAGTTTGATCCTGATAGGTTTATGCCCGAGAATAAGCACCTTATTAAGCCTTATACATACCTGCCCTTCGGGGGCGGCCCTCGTAATTGCGTTGGTATGCGATTCGCGTTGCTTCAGATCAAGATATGTTTGGCTCATATGGTGTTGAAGTACCAGTTCTTCAAGACTCCCAAAACGGACGTCCCGTTGCAATATCAACGATCCATTAAAATGATGTTCCCGAAGCGTATTTTTGCCGGAATCGAGAAAATCGCTTAATTGTTAGATTAACCTTGCTTATCCCCAATTATTAAATGTCAATCATTCTTTAAAATTATTTTAATTAGTTCAATTGTATTCTATTTACATGTTTTAAAAATTATTTATACCAGATTAAATAATTAAATAATTAGGCTAGTTCAAAATAAAAATTTGCTTATTATTGTTTGATTGTTTTAATAAATTTTAAAAGATTGTTTGATTGTTCTTGCTTATAATATAATTGTTTAAGGGCTGGAAAAAGATGGCGTCAATAATATTCCCAAATTCTGTTCTCAAATTGATTGGAATCGCAGTTCTAAAGCGAATAAATTTTTCGAGGACTACATCCGCCACCTGCTAAAGGATAGACGCGATAATCCGGGTAATAAACATCAGGATTTTATTCAGTTGCTTATAGATGCTGAGGTAACTGATAGAAAGACTGGTGATGATAGTGCCACCACTCAGGATGATAAGGATAATAGCGAACTTCATCATGTTAATCAAGGTATGTATTTAGGTAGTTTTAATTAGTTTTATGTGATAGATAATTTTAAGTTAACTTTAAGTTAATCTATTATTTTGAGTAACTAAGTTGGGAACATCGAGGCACGAATCTCGATTGAGTGGTTCTAATTGTTGTGATTAGTTAGCCAGTAACACAATTAACATTTTGAATTGACTAAACATGGCGAATCAAGTAAATTAGCTTGCTAAATTTACGTTTAACAATCGCTGACATCCTCATTTTGTCATTGATATTTAGCTGAATATGTTATACTATTATTTTGTGTACATATATCGGTAATTATTGCTAAAATTATCTTTTATTTAATGGCATAAAGCAGTCTCATACAATTACACAATTCAACTTATGTACAATCCATAAAACTTATGTTATATCATTGACAAAATGAGGATGTCAGC